AAAAGGTAATCCTTTTAATAGAAAAGATTGACTTACTTCAGAAAAACTCTGGCCGCAACCTTCAAAGATAAGTCTGAACCCTAATCTTGAGGGTTCTTCCTTCTGACTTTCTGGCCGCAACCTTCAAAAACAAGTCTGAACCCTAATCTTGAGGGTTCTTCCTTCTRACTCTTCCTGATTGCTGGTCATCCTCTAATGCTTCACCAACAATCTCCAAGACTCAACTGATGATCCTTTTTGCTGGAAATTTTCCAACCCTAGGAAATTCTTATGCAGCCGGCCATGTCAGACTATCATACGATTTCCTAGGTTGGCTCTGATACCATGTAGTCGTATGAGACTACTAACAGCCCAAGCTGTGGTGTATAATCAACAGGAAATTAAGAGAATGAGAGGAGAAAAAGAAAAGAAGAGAAGAAGATTTCGAAGGAAGGATTTCAGAAAAGAAGAGGATGCTTAATTTGTCGCCCCCCTCTTTCTATTTATATTAATTCTGAAGTAAGGATAAGACTGCTTACATGGCAAAATTAAAATCCTAATAAAAGACTAAAAGTCCTAATAAAAGACTAACAACTAATTGTGAACTGACACTTAAATAACTAGTAGTTGTATATGAGTACAATAGAAAGAGGTGGGGACCACATCAGTAGTTTCGACATAAATAAATGGAGGCAAGTAGTTTCTAGCTAATAAAATACCAAATATATTACAAAATACAATATCACTTTCCCATAACTCTATTGCAACTCCATAGAATTTTATCTTCAACTTTCAAAATGAATAGATGGCCACACTTGCATCAGGTAATAAATATTCCCAGGATCCCCTAATCAATGCAGAAATTAAGAGGAAAAAAGTGAAAATTGTCTGAATAGTGAATACTTTGCAAGAATAGCAACTTGCATAATCCTCTGTAACTTCACATGATGTACACTTTCTTGCCAATTTGATGTTTCTGTCATTGAACTGGCATTAAGTTAGAAACCTCTAAGAGCCACCACCCATAAGAACGTTTCTACCCTTTTTGAAAAGGTAAAGTAAACTTGGTGATATCGGCTGAGCATATCCAAAAAAATGGAATGTACAATGAGCATACAAGGGGGGTGATGTAGGACTAACAGCTCATATACTAAATAATGCAGGACAACTATGATCCAAGGGTGACTCTAAATAGGGCTGCATTGGTATGGACAGTTTGGGAGGAAAGAAATACTAGGATCTTTAACAATAAAGAAAGAGATGAAGCTACTTTTTGGGAGTGTATTTTGAATAATGCTCTCATTTGGGCTAAAGCTTTGGATCTTTTCTCACAATTCTCCTTTGATGATCTTTGGAGAAATTGGGAATTGGCTGCAAAATCTTCCTTGATCAAGAACAAGCCTGTAGCAGAATGGAAGCCCCCTGAAGAAGATTTATCAACCTAAACTTTGATGGTAGCAGCCTCAGTAATCATGGGCCTTTAGGTATTGGAGAAGTCTTTAGGAATGCAGAGGGTCAGATTGTTGCCTTGTTCTCTAGCAGGAGCATATCTTGAAAAAATCATGGATATTCTATCAAAATCATGTATGAAAGATCTTCTAGTCTTCTAGATACTGAGGTGCATACAAGTTGGACAAGGAACAAAGAACATGAATTCTTTTAATCTGGGACTGCTGGAAATGGCCTAAATTCCTGAACCTTCAGTTCCACTCAATGAATGTGCAATTTGTAAAGTTTATGCCCATGAGACAGTTTAAGTTTCAAAAAATTAAAAGAGAGCAATCTTTCAGAACGTTACTTGCAATTTATCTCTTAAGAGACAACCATTCCTAAGGTTCACACTTAATAGCTTGATAAATTTCAGCACAGGCATGAAACATCCAAAAACACGTAAAGAAAATGTACAATAGAAATTGCTTTCATATAGTCATTCCAATGAACCTGATGACAAATGCTTTTTAATGGCATCAAGTTAAAAATACTTACTACAATAGCATTTGAAAATTCTTGATGAGCATCATCAAGTTTAACAGCCATTTTAGCAACCCTATGAGATAGAACTTTTTGGCGTATGGCCCAATCTGCATTTCTCCAAATGCTCTTCGGAATTTCACTCAAACCAAAGCCAAGAAGAAATGCACCCGTGACAAGTCCAAAAGTATTTGAGCAAGCCATGGCTAAACCGACAATACCTCTACTCCTGCCATTTGAGAATTAAACTTCAACATTGAGAAGCTGTATAAAAATAACTATGCACTCATCAGTCATCACCGCTTCAGAGGCAAATTAACAACTAAAAACAAACAAGATCATGTGAGTGGTAAAAGATGGACAAGCAAAAAACCAACAACTGGGATTTCAGAAAAAGAGATCTCCTGATTTGGGCCCATGGTTCACAATATCAACAATACTGGCAAAATATCCCCATTTTGCTAGGAGGCAATGCAAACTTTTTGGGAATCTTTTTTTAAAATATTTCTGATATTTTGCCAATATGTCAGCGTTATTTTAGATTTCACTGATAGACTATATATTTAAGGTTTAAAATTTTAGAATACTACTAAAAACTTTTGGATATTTTGTTAAAATCATTATAATTTCTTAAAATATCTTCCTAAAAATAACTATGGGGAATTGGTGATTGGATAATTGGCTTACCATTTGGATATTATTCACTTACTAAGTCGCTATAATTCAAAAGGAAGAAAGCAAAATGCATATAACTACAAAAGAATATTAAAATAATCAAAACATATAAACAGTCAAAACAGCAAGTAATTGACATATTTAATGGAGAGAATATGACTAAAATACTAAAAGAAGACAAAGAGAAAGATATTTATTAAAGTCTCTCAATTTTCTCCTAATTGATTTATACAGTTTTTGCTATGGATTTTTGAACCTGAAATGTGCAATTATATTTGTTCTAATAATTCCTTCAGGTTTTATTAACTAGTTCCATGTTTTTAGAAAAAATTCCTGATATTTTAGATTTTCCAAATATCCTACGAAATTAGGAAAATATCTCCAAAGTTTCTCCATCTTTACATGGCAAAATATCTATCAATATCAAAATTGGGAACCATGTATGGGCCTAATCTCAGCTCCTTGCTGAGATGTTCGTCCATATCCAACAATTTCATTTTTAGAATGAGTAAATTATACATGAGAGGATGTAGAAGTTAGGCAAAAATATCAAAGAATACACACCACAACCAAAATATTACATGTGCATAGTGTTGCAACCATACAAAAAGGGCCTTCCACATGGACCAGACCTGATTTAGCTAATCTATCAGCCACAGTATTTAGGTCCCTTGGAATTCATCTAATATGGCCCTTTAACTGAGATAGGATTTCTCTAATTTTACTACAAAATTTAGATAATCTCTAAGGACCACTGTCAGCACACTGAGACCAATAAAAAGCAGTTCTTTGAGTCTAGTATCCTTCAATATCAATGGAAGTGGTTTGGATAAAATTGGCTGTTATAAGACCAACTAATAGCACTCTGACCTCTGCTTCTATAAAATCAGCATATCTTAAAAACCCATATCAAGCAATTGTTACTCCTGTCACTTTACTTCCATCATCTTTCACGCCTTTCTCTTTTTCCTTTTAACCGTTCATTGATAACAAGAAGCATATTAAGATCACAGAGTAAATGGGATATATACAAGATCTCATAAAAGTTCACAAGAAAGAATAGAAAAGAAAATGGGAGAAAATGAAGGGAGAAAGAGAGACAACTTATCAATAAAAAAAAGCAAGACAAAACAATCTTGACCATACAGAACATACAAAGCATTTCCATCCCCCTCCCAGAGCACGCACCAGTCAGTAGCATGCAATACTACATTCATGAATTTTAAGCCTATATGGGCATTTTTATGCTCTTTTCAAATGTTGAAAAGTCAGACCCAAATGTGCTGGTGGAGATATTTCCTTGTGGCCAAGCTTGGCAGGTGGAGGAGGTTAAGGAAAATAGAGGGCATATATGCATATTTCTAGTGATATACAAACCATTTGATGGGGTGCCACATAGTTCTTTTTATTTTATTTATTTATTTTTTCATGTACAAATTCTTTTGTAAATCCCAATACTGATTAAAGCTGTTGTAAATTCCCACTGTAGAGCTTCTTGATGTACATGGGCTAATGTAAAATTCAAAAGAAATAATTAATATAATACCTTATGCTTTTTTATCAGAAACAGTAACTTTCATTAGAAAATATTTAAAATAATACACTGTCACCACCCAAAATAAGGGTATTGACCCTTAGAAATATAATACCTTACGCTTTCATAAAAAGGCAAGGATAATATGGAGTATCATGATGTATGGTGAGAAAGGAACAGACACAATTTTGAAGATAAATAATGTTCTAGAAGAAAATTAGTTGCTGAAATTTACTCTTTCATCATGGACTTGTCTTTAGCTCATCTGGAATTTAAAGATTTGAATATATAGGCATTTGGGGCTATTTTCTGGTTAACATTGGATTTAGTTAATTGGAATTTTTGAGTTGCATGTAGGGATTGTCTTTGTATTTCAATTTGGATGTTCTTCTTTGCATGATGAAGTCTCTTCAACAATGGACTGTAATCTTTTTCTTTTTTTTTTTTTGAGCAGCACTGTAATATTTTTCTTTTAATGAAATTTAGTTGCTTGTTATCAAAAAAACAAAAAGGAAAGCATGACCTTTATCTATCCAATTAAATCTCCATGGAAAAGAAAATAAATGTAATGCAAGGCTATCTAGAAACAACTCTATGCTTGAATCCCCCCCCCAACCAAAATAAATAAATAAATAAATATAAACTCTAACAGAACCATTACCTCTATTTTTTATGTCCTTCTAGGCCCTGCATTTCAATACGACTCTTTGCTGGTGATAAGTTGGATGAATACCAATAGTGATGGGTCATGGACTCAGACAGGTAATAAGGGAAATAAGGAGGATAGAAGGTGAGGTTGAGGCTAATTTAAAATGGATAAACAGGTCAGCAAATGCAATGGAAGATACACTAGCAAAGCAAGGGGTGCATAGGGATCATTTGCTATCAGCTAATTTAACTTAATGTGGGTTGGTTCAGCTTGGGAGCCTTGTACTTATTCTAATTTTACTTAATCAATTCAACTTTCTGGTGATCTATCAAAAAATAAGACTCCATGATAGCTCTTTTATTTTTTATCTTTTTGCTTCTTTGATCATTAAGCAGATGGTTCAGATAAAATGATTCTATTAATTCTGAGAAAAACATAAACAAGGGAATACAATTATCTAGTTCAACCCAATGAAGGCAGGGCCATAGCTGAAAGCTTCTACATAACATATACAATACATCAAGAAGAGCCAGGGTGTCTAAAACATATATGGCATTGAACAGAACAGAGTGGTGAGTGAAACAGGATTCATGCAGCCAACCCCATACAGTTGGGACAAGACTTAGTCATAGTTTTCAAGGCGCCAAGGCGAGGCTAGGTGACAGGGGGGCGCCTAGTTGCCTAGTCGCCAGGCGACACCTAGGCGATGAATTTTTTTTAAGTAAAATCATATATCCTAGGGTAGTTCCCTAGGTTCCATAACCATCTTACCTTAATAATTATTCATAATTTTCATAAGAGAAGTATAAATTTCATGTTTAAGTCTAGAAAATCAACATTTTATGAGAAGAAAAAGAACAAAGTAAAGAAAACTCAAAAAATATAGGGGCTGAACCCCTACTTTTGTTATAGCAAAGAAGAAAAGAAAAGGTGGAAGAAGAAGAAGAAGAAGAAGAAGACATGGAAGAAGAAAATGTGTTGATTAGACAAAATTTTAAGTTCTTCCTTTGCTTATAGGTTCAGGTTTTGAAATTTTTGAGGGTTCAATCAAGGATCAAAATTTTGATACGATACGCCCCATACCAGGTGTATTGTATTGTATCTTTGGGGTCCCGATACCTGTTTACAGTTGCTTTCGGGGGACCCATTTTTTAAATAATATATATATATTTAAAAATGAAATTGAAAACCAAAGAAATAAAAAATAGGGGAAGTATCATTATAAGTACCGATACACCTCTGCCAATACACAGAGGTGTACCGATACTGTGAACCATAGGTTCAATACAGCAGTTAGCAATGTTGCATTGATTAAACCCTAACAAAATAAGAAAATAATAAAAAAAAAAGTATATAAACACATAAAATGAATATTCTAGTTTAATAATGTCTATTTTATAATTATAATGTCAAAAAATTAAAAATATAAAAGTATTTTATAACCCAGTGCACGAAACTGCTAGGCAACTGGGCGAGACGAGCCTCCAAGGGCACCTTGTCGCCTAGGCATCACCTAGGCGTCGCCTTGACAACTATGGACTTAGTCAAGAAACCATTCTTAACTGTTCAAAATGCTCCAAGGGTATATAACAAAGTATCTTAGTTATATAAGAAGGGCAATACATCAACAAAAATAAGTACAGATGGGTTGTGAAACAAACTGAATTTTGTCCATAATAATGAGGAGAATAAGTCCAAAAAGACCAATAAATCCCACGCTCAGATAAAAGACCAAGTTTTGCTGTATGCTTGTCTTCAATCTTTCTTTCATAGTGAAGTCCCCAGCATCTTCATAACCCTGAATAAGTGGCACTACAACCCTGCACAGAAAAATAACATATAATAAAACAAAGACGATATGTGTCAACTAAAGTATATATCCACTTAGAATGTATCTTAAACCACCATAGATCAAATGCACATACCAATTTATGCAGGTAAAATATGACTAGATGGGAAAACATAAAATCATGTTTTAATAGAATATCCAGAAAGAGTAATTACAATTATATGTATTTATGCTTCAAAACCATGAATAAATTACATAAGGAAAATCAGAATACACAAACTGGCCACATTATTTTTATCAATAACAGAAACTTTTATTAAGAATAGGAGTAAAAAAGAAAGACAACCAGAGGGAGGGGTACAACATCTTAACCCTCCCTAAAAGTAGAATTTAGATTACAACATTGCCCAAAAAAGATTAGCCAAAGAGTTGGCACTGAAACTGAATTGGTATGGGGCGGCTGTTTAATTTAAAAACATCCCTACTTCGCTTCTTACTCCTAAACCACAGGGGATGGCATAGGGGGTGATGTCGAGTGAAAAGGAAGAATTGAACGCTGCTATTGAGGTCGTTCACCAATAATCCTCTGAAAATATCAGAATTGGTAGCCCAAACAAAGATTACAATGATTGGTGACTTGAGAGACTAGATCCTAATGAGTTTTTGACTTGTTGTTGAAGAGGCGATTGTTCAGTTGTTCCTTTCTTCCCACACACCCCACATCACTGCATGTATGATTGTTTGCCAATAGGTTTTACCTCTTTTTCTTAACCCTCTGCCTCGCCATTGTTGAACGAAATCCTGAATATTCTCCAGTGCAACCCAGCCATAGCCTGCCAGCTCAAAAAAGTGTTTCCAGATCTTCTTGGATTCCTTGCAGTGAAGAAGTAAATGATTAGCTGATTCTCCTTCATTCAAGCACAAGATACAAAACATGGGGGGGAGATGAGTCTTCCCAAGCTTTTCTTTTGGAGCAGGTCACACATGTTGATCCTCTGCAAACAGGCTTCCCATACAAAGAAGCAAACTCTTGAGGGTATGTGACTGCATCAAATCTTCTTGAAGGGGGGAATTCTGTTCACCTGCAGTCAAAGCCTTGTAAAAAGATTTGGAAGAGAAATCGCCATTATGGTGAGGGGACCAAATTCTTGAGTCTTGGGAGTTAGGTGAGATGTAGACTTCTTTAGAGCTTGGAGGAGACCTGCTACTTCTGATATCTCTGGGTCTCTAAGTGGTCTTATAAGGCTTAGGTTTAAGGTATTCTCAAAATGAGAGGCAGGAAAACAAGAGGACACAGATGCATCTTGATCTAGAGTTAGGCTAAACAATCTGGGGAAAGAGGTAGCTAGGGTGGAGTTGCCCCACTACAGGTCTTTCCAGAACTTAATTCTGCAGCCATTTCCTACTTTGTATCTAATGAAAGGGAAAAAAAATAGTGCTAACAGAGGTGATACCTTTCCAAGGATTTGTAGATTTAACCCGGTTCAAGTGGAGAGTGCTGTCCCAACCATTAGAGCTTGTCCTGTACTTGCTGGAGATGATGGCTGCCCACAGAGAAGTAGACTCTTTAGGATATCTCTAAAACCACTGACCCAAAAGGGAGGTATTCTTCTCCTTGAGATGGCCAATGCCCAACCAACCTTCCTCCTTAGGCTTACAAATTTGCTCCCAACTTACCAAGTGATTTCTTTTTCCCCTCCGCCTTCCCAAAGGAAATTTCTTTGGAGTTTCTCAAGCTGATTTCTAACTTTCCCAAGGATTTGGAAGACTGACAAGTATTATATCAGCAAGTTTGCAAGGGATGCGTTTAAAAGAGTGAGTCTGCCCCCTTTTGACAAATAGCAGCTCTTCCAAGTTGTTAGTTTTTTCTCGCATTTTTCTATCACTGGCCCCCAAAAACTGAGACAACCTTCCTCCTTAGGCTTACAAATTTGCTCCCAACTTACCAAGTGATTTCTTTTTCCCCTCCGCCTTCCCAAAGGAAATTTCTTTGGAGTTTCTCAAGCTGATTTCTAACTTTCCCAAGGATTTGGAAGACTGACAAGTATTATATCAGCAAGTTTGCAAGGGATGCGTTTAAAAGAGTGAGTCTGCCCCCTTTTGACAAATAGCAGCTCTTCCAAGTTGTTAGTTTTTTCTCGCATTTTTCTATCACTGGCCCCCAAAAACTGAGACAACCTTCCTCCTTAGGCTTACAAATTTGCTCCCAACTTACCAAGTGATTTCTTTTTCCCCTCCGCCTTCCCAAAGGAAATTTCTTTGGAGTTTCTCAAGCTGATTTCTAACTTTCCCAAGGATTTGGAAGACTGACAAGTATTATATCAGCAAGTTTGCAAGGGATGCGTTTAAAAGAGTGAGTCTGCCCCCTTTTGACAAATAGCAGCTCTTCCAAATTGTTAGTTTTTTCTCGCATTTTTCTATCACTGGCCCCCAAAAACTGAGACTCTTTTGATTTCCCCCCAGCGGCATCCCCAAGTAGAAAATTGGAAAATGCTCCTCTCTGCACCCCAATATGTTTTTAAAGGATTCCAACAGTCCTTCAACAGAATTTACTATCACAATGCTGCTTTTGGAAAAGTTGACCCTCAAACCAGTAACCATCTCAAAGTAATTGATCACCCYTTTAGCATTTGTAATGTTATCCAGAGACGCTTCCAAAATAAAATGATGTCGCATACGAACTGTAGATTAGAAATATGGAGAGCATCTCTACCTACTTCGAAACCTTTCACCAAGTTTAGATTTTTGGCTTTCTCAAACAGATGGCTGAATAAATCCATCACCAAAGTGAATAGAAAGGGGGAAAGGGGACAACCTTGACTCACCTTGAAATAGCCTTTTGGTTCTCCACTACCATTACTGAAAACCAAGTAGATTCGATGCACCCTTTAATCCACCTACTACCGAAGCCTCTGACCTTTAAGATATGATGAATACACCTCCAATCCACTTTGTCATAAGCTTTTTCCAGATCCAGTTTAACTAGGACCCCTGGCTTCCATTTTGTTTTCTTTCTTCAACACATTCATTTGCTATAAGGATGCTATCCACTATTTCCTTCCTTTCACAAATGCAAATTGGCTTGGGGAGATTAGGTCTCTTAAAACTTCCTATAGTCTTCTTGCTAACATCTTAGCCAAAATTTTGTAGAAGCTCCCTACTAGACTTCGGTCTGAAATCTTTCACCTCTAAGACTCCTCCTTTCTTATAAAGTTGGAATTGAGTCCTTTGTTCACTATGGCCAAAGAGTGGAAATCCCTGAAAGTCTCCAGCATATCTTCTTTTATTGTGTCTCATCACATCTGAAAAAATAACATAGCGAATCCGTCTGGGCCCGGAGCCCTATCACCGTCCATTAGGAATACAGCCTCTTTAATTTCTTGCTCATCAAAGTCTCTTTCAAGCCACATTCGCTTCCCTTCGGATAATTCTGCCCCTTCCCACCTGTCCACAATGTACTGGTGGTTTTTTCTCTAGTGTAGAGGTTCTTGAAGTAAGTTATAAAGGCCTCTGTGATTTCATCTACATCATCCACTTCCCTCTGTTCCACTTTGAGTTTAGAGATGAAATGTTTCCTTCATCTTCCTGATGCATAAGAGTGAAAAAACCTGGAATTATTGTCCCCTTCTTTCAACTATCTCACTCATGATCTTTGCCTCCACCTCCAGTAAGTTTCTTGCCTCCTAATCAACTTCTCCCACATTGTTCTCAATTCAGCTCTTCTCCTCCTACTTGTTTCATCCAATTTTCTGTTTTGCTCTCTTAGGTCCAGCTCTTCTAATTTCGTAAGGATTTTGTCAAGGGCTTTGAATTCGTCTCTTCCCCAAGCCTTTAACTTGCTTTTTAAGGACTTCAATTTCTGCAGAAAACAGAATCCAGCCCACCCTTCTACCTTGCATTCTTCCCACCGAGTGGCCACCTTCTTGCTGAAATCCTTATGCATGGTCCACATCTTTTCCAACCTAAATGGGGGCTTGCATTTAAAAGTCGAGTCTGTTCTTAGGACAATTGGCCAGTGATCTGATGTGGAGCGTGGACAAATTTCTTGAGTCGAGTTAGGGAACATCTCCAGCCACTCTAGAAAGACCAGAAACCTGTCAAGACTACAGCTTATTGCATTCTCTTGTATATTTGGCTAGGTGAAACGCCCATTGTTGAGAGGGAGGTCACGCAAGCTGTGTCTGTTTATGAAGCTTGAGAAATTCCTCATACTTCTTGTTGGAGTTTTGCCAATGGAGTGTTCAGTGCTGAACCTTATGACGTTAAAGTCACCACCTACACACCACGGAATGTCATTGAACTCATGCACTGAGTCCAGTTCTTCCCAGAACCTTGTTCTATCTGAGGGGAAATTTGGCCCATACACACCAATCAATATCCAACTGAAACCATCCTTTTTGTTAGTGAACAGCACAGATAAAGAAAATTCCCCCTTGTCAACTTCTATACCCGAAATCTCTTCTTCATTCCAGGAAAGAATGATGCTCCCCAACGATCCTGTTGCAGGGATAGCTGCCCATTTTTCCCTATAATTCCCCAGATTGCTTTAATCAGTTTTTTGTCTACAATCTCTTTTTTTGTTTCTTGCAAAACAACTATGTCCGGACTTTCTCTTGTTAGAGCCTCTTTCACTAGACACCTTTTCAGCTGTCCTCCCAATCCCCTGATGTTCCAGCTTAGAAATTTCATTGGGTCTATCTTGAGTAATTTCCCTTAAAACACCCTATGCCCTTCCGGTCTATTATCTGTTAGTCCCCACAGAAATCTTTTCAATTCCCTTTTATAACTCTTTCTTTCACATCTTCCCTGATCTTTCCCTCTCATGTTGTTCTCTTTCTCAGTCAAAGCCCGAGTTTTGATTGTTCCTCTCTTCTGTTAAGACCCAGTAACTTGGCCATCTCGCCAGTGCTTTCTTTCAAACCGTCTGTCTCTATATTACTCAACCAAACCTGTTCTGCCAAGTTTTCTGGGGGAGTGCTGGCGCTCTGATTTGGTTGGGATAGCTCTCCATTTGAACCTCAAAAGAGAGAGGAAAGGTGGTTGCTGTGAGAGGATGGTGAGGAAACAAAAACTGAATTAACAAGCAAAGAGGGGAAAGAGGAGACTCTAGGATACTGTTGGCAGCTGGGTTGGGCTTAGGGAGGTTTGAAGACAAATCTCTTCCTTGTCTTTTAACACGGCCTTCTAGGTCTGTGTCCCCATAGTCCAGATTGACCAAAGGCATATGTTCAAGCATCTCTACACATCCCCAATTTTCCTTCCGTGAGAACAGATTTCTTGCCCTTTCTAAAGCAACCACCTGAGGTTCTGACTCGACCTCCGCCGCATAAGAGCTCAAATCTTCGTCGGAGTTTTCGGCTTCATATGAATCAAAGGAACCTGACTTCAACAAGGAGGTGGGAGATCTAATAAACTTCCTTCTCACGGCCTCCTAAGCTGGGAGGGGTGTTGGGCACCGCTTGGCCCTTAAAGGAGGGGGTTTCAGGTGGGCTTGAATAAGTGTCGTCCGTCTTCTCTAGAGAAATTTGGGCCTTTGTCTTGAGAGGCCCAGTTGACCAAGTCACTTCTTTCCAGTTCTTGATGATATCTCCTACTGAATAACCTTCAAAAAGCTTCAGTCTTAACCCAATGAACCACCCTAATAGAAACTGATTCAATGATGGCTTCCTTGTTTCTTTCTTTTTCAAATGGAAGGTTCTTTGATTTCTTTCCTCCCACACTGTCCAAAATGCTGCTCTTACACATCTCCTCAAGATTTTACCTCTCCTTTTTAGCCCCCTCACTGAAGTAGAGTTAAACAAGCTCTGCACATTTGGAGGGGAGGACCACCAAAAACCAAGAGAGAGAAAAACCAACACCAAATTTCTGATACAAAAGGGCAGGATACCAGTAAGTGATAGCAGCTCTCACCATTCTCCTTACATAGGATGCACTAGTGCAGGGATATACACCAAATGGGCCTTTTCCTTTAAAGTAAGTCACAAGTGTTACACTTTTCTAGGAAAGCTTCCCAGCAGAAAGCGCCTACTTTGAGAGGAATTGGTCTACCCCAAACTTCCAAGACTGGGAAAGGGTGTCCAAAAGCTGAAGAGGAATGGGTTAACTCTTTGAAAAAGGAAGAACATGAGAAGACACCCGAGGGAGAAGGAACCCAAATCCTACTATCCCTTCTAGAGGGATCAATAACCACCTCATCCAGGATCTTAAACAAATCAGAAATGAAGTTCAATTCAGAATCTCTAAGAGCCCTTCTAAAACCTAAGTTCCAATCAAAAGCAGAATTAGAAGGGGTTAGGAAGGTGGATACTGGCCACATTCAACATGATAATTTGTTAATGTTAGAAAATTACTTTTACATATATTATTTCATCATTACACTTGAGGGACCATGAAGAAACTGAAAAGGGGCAAGATTCATCAAAAAAAAAAACAACTGAAAAGGGGCAAATAAAGCAGAAGTAGAAAACAGGACCTTAGATCAGAGAAGAGATGTGGCCTTTGAGTAATAGAGGATTTTAATGAGAAGTCGTATATGATATATCAGGCCCCTAATTTTCCAGACTAGGTTTCTCTTTTTTTCTATTATACATGCTCTAATAGGGAACCCCTTTGTTGGGCTAGGGTTGCCATTGGTATAATTTTTGGTACCCCAGTGGCTTGTAACCATTTTATTAATCAAAATAAACTTTTCTTTTGCTAATCAAAAAAGGGAAAAAGGACCTTTTCTCTACAAGGAAGACCATAATACTACATATCAGAGGTGAACAAACAAAAATGATAGACAAGTATATACAAAGCTGAACGTAATAGAAAGTACATAAGCATATGCACTATAACCCACATTTGAGGACAGGGCTACATAAGGATTTGCAGTAGTTGAATGCAATAAGGCACACAAAAGTTGTATATCTAAGTTCTTATACAGCATACCAAGTAAGTGCAAATGTACTCCAATATGACCAGCTCCAAAAGAAAGCAATTCCTCCATTCTCATGTCTAATAATTGTCTGTTATAACAGAAAAGAAAGGATTAAGTTAGGTTGTTAGAAATAGTAAATAAGTTTGTATTGTCCACTAAGAAATGCTCCAAACCCAAATAAGTGGTCCAATAACTTCTACACATGTAAGATTTCTCCAAAATTGGTTTTAAACAAACAAATAACAAAAAAGCTTTAATCTGAACAGTCAAAACAGTGTATCTACATTTAACTCAAGGAAGACAGGCATACACAAAGGACGGTCAAACACCCCAGTCATTTAAAAACAAGAAAAAGAAAGGTTGAAAAGAACGAAAATAAACCCACTAACACGATTTTTATCTTTTGATGGTAAGTAAAGAAACTATTCAAAAAAAAAAAAAGAAGAGTATAATGAAGAAGATCTAATGGCATTATAGAAATCAAAACAGCTTATATATAAGAAGATAACATTTTTTGGTAAATGGTTAAGAATATAAATATATTAATCAAAAGGCATTACAATCTTAGATACCTTCTACAACCAAATCTAATAAAGACCAGAAATTTGATCCAAGCAACAACCAATCCACATATTCAAAATCTCAGTGAACCATAAGCAAATCCATAATGAGTGAACATCAGCATCCAGTTTTCTTGCCACCAGAAAACCAATACTACAATAAAAATATTTCATTTAGATGCTCAGCTCTGTACAAAGGTAGGCAGAACAAAGCAAAGTAGTACACCCAAACAAACTATGTGATCCTACAGAGAATGAACAAATATTGCTTTGCCCATTACATATAACTTGCCATCCAAAAGCCTCTGAACTTCGAGCAGTCAATTGTCAAAATGCTAACCAAAGGTAGCAGCCATTCAAAAGAGAATGAAGAGATTGACAACAGCTCAAAGAGTTTTTAGTGAGAGAGAGAGAGAGAGAGAGAACAGGGAACAAAAGGTAGAATATCAAACAGAGCTGGACAAAGAAAAGCTAGATCACCACAATAACAATATAACATACCCCATAGAGATTTGCTAATCTCACTGGATTATCTCCCAAGGCAAACCTCAAATACAAACCAATCCTAACTGGTCTTCCTCTAGCTAGTGAATCCACTAAAGTATTGCATACCAACTAGGTGAGGTGTTTATGTCAATGTTTTAAGACGCACAGGCATAGACAGAAGGCATTCATTCTACTATCCCAAAGCATAAGGCATATATTGAAGGAAGGTTAGGATTCATCATATGGATTGCCAAACCATGCTAGATGGCTGGGCGAAATTTCAAAAAAATTCTTTTAACCTTCCGGGAATCGTATTTTGGGTTTTAGAAAAACTACAATTTTCTAGGATCAATCTTGCACTGAAACCGGACCAGATTTGAAACCGAACAAAAAGGGAGGTGTATACCTGATACGGATTCCACAAATGTAGCTCCCAAGGTACCGTTCACGCCCAAATCAAATCCCAAAACCAGCTTCCACTGAAGAGGGAAGAGATTGAAGTTGAAGCCGGTTCAACAACGCAGTTTTTAGCAAAACTGCAATCCAACACCTTGGATCGAACTGGGGAGGTGAGCACGTTTTTTCTCTATATTTTTCTTGCAAAAATCAAAGAATGAACTGATCAAGATCAGTCTTGGAGATCGAACTAGGGTTTCAGGGTGGCAAGAGAAGAGAGAGAGAGAGAGAGCTAAAAGCAGAGTTATCTGGAGTAGTTTGATCTCCTCTTCTTTTATCCTTAAAGAGCACCTCTCCTAATTGAATTAAGAGGTTTAATTCAAATCTTTATTTGGATCTGGACTCTATCATAAGATAGGTCTTATCCTCTTAAGAGAATGGGTGCTCCAAACCCATATTCGCCGATGTCACATGACAGTTTAAGCAGTCATGTGACATCTTGATTAATCATATTAATCATGGGCTTTAGGCCAATAGTGTTGCTGGCTTATTTAGGTTTAATTTGTATGGCGTCAACAATGACCTCACATAAGCCCATGTGGGTTCAGCCCAGCCTCTATGAAAAAGCTTAGCCGAATTCACTACCAAATGCAATGAACCACTGAGCTCATCACTATGGGCCCAACATTTACAATTAAATGATCCTTAAGACCATCCATCTTATGAAACCCCAAGGATAATGGACTTAAGTAAGATATAGCCCATCAGGTAATCAGCCCTTAATGGTCTCTTACACTTAACCTCTCAGCCCACAATGATCCAACACTGCCCGACAGGGAAGGACCTCTCCCCTGATTGCAAGGTGCAATGTTACACTCTCTGCTCGAATGGATCCCGGGAATTAAAATCTTTTTGCAAACATTTTTCTTGAAACATAACATATACACATATCATATAAATATATTTTGCAAAACAAATCTCAAACACGGTTGAAATCCACTACCGACAGTTTAGGTTTCCATCAGAGAGAGTGCAGTCCCAATCATTCACTTTATCCAATAAAGGGGTTGATCCTATCACTATGATCACCCACTTAAGTGCAAGGTTCAAAATATCGATACGCCCGATACGCCGGTATGGGCATATCGGGCAAATCGATACTCCTTTTGGTGGTTTTTTTTTTTTTTTTGCCAACTGGTTTAGGGGAGCCGATTTAGGTCTTTGCCACACCCTGAACCGATCAGACCACCGATACACCAACTATAGGGGCATATCGGTGGGGTGTCGGAACGATACGTATCGGCCGATACGGGCCGATACATGTCGATACTGTAAACCTTGCTTAAGTGAATTCTCAAACTGCCCCAACATACCCAAATTTTGACCCCCAAAGGATCTCACTGATTGGTATATCAAAGACAACCCGATCCGACACCCAGTGTAGTACCATAATCAAGTCTAGGGGTTATGTGTAACTTTTCAGTTTTGTCCATCAGTCTCCAAAGTCCAGGGCATGATTGGAAAATGGTCCGAATTCAATGCTTCAATCAAACAAACACTACATGTGATTCGGGTTTAACCCTAGTAGCTGAAACAAGCTGCCCCAACTTCTTTGGCAGCACATCAATGTCAACGTTGGCAGGATAAACTCCCCAAGTCTATCCAATGGCTAAGAACATTCTTAACTAACACAAGTCTCATAAGTGTCCAGTTTAAGGGGTAAAATTCACAGAAACATACCAAAGTCAACATGAAACAATAATGTACTTTTATTCATTTACAATAAATGTATTTGTACATCAATCTAATTAGAACTAAGGGCGTGCACTATCTAACATATACCTCCCAAGCATGGTTTTCAAAACCGGACTGGACAAGGAATCGTTCTGGGGAGCCATCAATATATCACTTGGAAACTTGAAAATCAAAATTTCAGAATTAACGATTTACATAAATTTAAATGAATGTTATGGTATGCATTAAAAGAAACAAAAGCTATGGTGTTGTTGTTTCTATTTGTAACATTTTACTATAATATTGCATAAACATATTTGGAGGGCTTTCATTGTCAATATTGTGTTAATATATGATGGGGAGCACAATAAAATGGTTTCCCCACTTTTTATTTATAACATTTCATTACAAAAATATTAAAAAAAAAAAACTAGCTTCAAAGTTAAGAGCACTGTGTATGCCTCCTGTATAGAGCACAACAAAGGCATATGCCTCATAGACTTCTATACTGGATGGATATGCCTCAAGTGCCTTTGTGCCTCCATTGTGTGCCTCTAGGCATTTTCTTACTTCTTAGTGCCTCACCTGAAGGTGCACCACCATGACTATGCCTCCAATAACTTCTAAAACACTTAATGATGGATGCCAAAGATTTGGCTTCCCTAATAGAAAGGGCTTGATCCATATCCACTAACTAACTATTGAAGAGTCTCCTTCAACTACCAACCTATCATATATCAAAGAAACAGCCAATGGCAACCTGTGGCCCTTGCAATAGGGATAACACTTAACAGCTCAGACTGATTGGAATTCCTATTGCCTATGGAACCTGATAGTATTACCAAAATCCTCACTGTAATTGTCACAAGAAAGCCCCCCACCCTACATAAATTTCTGGGTTGGCAGCTGGTAAGAATTTTACAAATAGTAAGTGAAAGAATGAAGAGAAAGGTATGCAAAGCAATGTACCAAGCACCCAAAAGATTGGCTAGCCTATGCTAGTCGCCCCCCCCCC